CTACCTCACAAACTGCCAGCATTACGTCTGCACAAACTGCTTTTCCTCCCGCTCTCACCCAGTCACCTGCGGGGTACTCCAAGGATCCATCCTTGGCCCCCTCCTCTTTCTGATCTGCATGCTCCCTCTTGGGGATGTTATCCGCAGACATGGGGTACACTTCCACATGTATGCGGACGACACCCAACTCTATTTTTCCACCTCACTTTGTGACCCCCAGTACCCTGATGTTCTGTCAGTCTGCCTGTCAGACCTCAGGAGCTGGATGAGCGCAAATTTCCTTCAGTTGAACATTGACAAGATGGAAGCCATACTCTTTGGCTCTCGTCAATGTCTAAAATCTCACGGTTCTCACCTCCTCCACCTACCCGACCTCCCCCTAAAACGCTCCGAATCCATACGCAACCTAGGCGTCAGGTTCGAACCCCCAATTATCCTTCCTCCCCCACATCTGGTCCCTCACCAGCACCGCCTTCTTCCACCTCCGATGCATCGCCTGTCTCCCCCAATACCTCACTCCCAAAGCCGCTGAAACCCTGGTCCATGCCTTTGTCACTTCTCGGCTGGACTATTCTAACGCCCTCCTCGCCGGTCTCCCCTCCACTACCATCCATAAAATCCAGATTATTCAAAACTTTGCCACCCGCATTCTCACCTGCACCAAACTCCGCTCCCCGATTACCCCAGTCCTTGCCAGACTGCACTGGCTGCCTATCCCAGAGAGGATTGACTTCAAGATCCTCTCCTTGTCTTCAAATCCCTCCACTCCTCTGCAACCCCCTACCTCTCTGACCTCCTCTCTTCTCAAAACAATGCCCGTTGCCTTCTTCCTCCGGGTCTGGCCTCCTCCTTGTCCCCTGAGTCCTCCGCTCCAACCTCGGCGGCCATGCCTTCAGCCACTCTGTCCCGAGGCTCTGGAACTCCCTTCCTCACTCCCTTCACCTCGTCCCCTCTCTTCCTATTTTCAGGTCTCTGCTGAAGACCTTTCTTTTCGGCTGTGCCTTTGGTCACCTTCCTTTCCCTCCCCCTGGCTCGGCTCCGGGATCCGTTACTGTGAAGTGCTCTGAGACTCCATCCGGCGTGAAGGGCGCTATATAAATCCAAGTTGTTGTTGTTGTTGGACTTGTGGGCAGTGCCTGCCACCCCTTACAGACTCGAGCACTCACATCTCTGCCCCAAGTTCTTGTTCAGAGGAAAGGTAAAGATCCTATGATGCTATTTGGAAAATTCCAGCTCCCTCAAGTGCACCCAGACACTGTCTTGGGTAATGGCTGGGTAGTAATTTGGTCACTCAATCCATGATTGTTTGTGGGACATTTATAATTACTAAATTACTCTCTACTAGTTTAGGTCATTGGGTGAAAGTACTTCTAGTTTGTAACTTTATTGAACAGTCTGGAATGCCACCTTTTAATAACACTGATATACATACCTTCGAATTAGCAAAAGAAAAAAATAATGGCCTAATGGACATTCCAGCTCTTGAAGGGATCAAATATTAGCAAAGACCAAATCAATTTATTTATACTGACTGCAACTAAAGTCTGTGGATCAATTTCCAGCTGAAACCACAAGCGTTTGAAGTGCGATCAAAACACATATGTCAGATTGGTTTGTTACTGGTGTGGGTGTGAAGTATGAAAACTACTAATTTTTCAAATTTCAATCTAATGTGTGCTTGGTGTTGTACAATGGAACTCCTCCACAAAGTGTATTCGGCACTGAAGATGAAACCAACTGACCTGGTTGCACAGATATCAGCAAGTGACACAGAGTGTTTTGCATTAAACTGCTGTGCCCATCAATCAAAACAAAGCACTCACAATTCACTGGTGAATACATTGACAGACATGGGGACAATCTATCATTTGTTCAATTGATTAATGCAGCTCTGTAAACTGTGACCTGATTTTGTCCACAGTCATTTATATCAATTGACTTTTACTCCATGTTCTGCATATTCGTGGCACTCTTAATTTAAATGGTAAAGGACAATACTTGGGGTTAGCTGATGTGTGACAAACCAATAAAAGTGAAGGGTAGAATATCACAGAGCAGTAGAAGTGTGTATATATATGTGTGTGTATATAGGTAATTAAGAAGGTGATTAAGAAGCTTAACAAGTGGAATAAATAAGTTATTTAACTTCATTTCAAATCTTGCATAAGCACATTTCGTCTTTGACAGACACAGTCACCACTACCAACAATTGAATTTCACTGGTACAAATTGCATTCCGAAACCCATCTCGTGCATTGACAATACCAGACAGATACAATCTTCTCCTCTGATAATCAAGAACATCCTTTTTTATAAACCAAGTTAAAGTCAGATCAAAATGTTGTATTTTGATGCTCATACGCTTATTCAATCGTTCTTTACAAATCTTAGATTGGAACAAAAGCTTTGAAAACACCAATCCAGTAACATTTCTTTGAGAGTTACTCTGCTTCATGTATTAATTTGTTCATGACAGATACCTTGGATTAATTTAAAACATTTAGCAAATACATCTCTGTGCTCTTTTAAACAAAACCTAATGTCATTTTAATTATAAATGACAAGACAAATAATAAAACAGGGCCATTTCTATTACAATTTCATAATAAGAATTTTTTTTAAGTCACAAACTTCCTTCCAGTAACCACAAATACATTATGCAGCCCCACGGGAACTCAACTTAGATATATTCTGCCTCTGGAGCAGAGTCCTGCTGCTTCGGTGACATACTTCTGGCTCCAATTAGAAATCTTCATTTGTGTCAGAGATTTTATCAGGAAATCTCGTTATGAATTACCATGTTTTAAACATCATTATAAATAATAAAGTCAACTTTTATAGTTGGAGGATTGCTATCTTTAAATGCAGGAAAAATTGGCTAAACAAATCGACCACATTTTGTTTCTTCTAGAAAACTCCCCATTTGTTAAACACAGGGCAAGCTCCGTTAAAACACGGAGTGTGGATCCACAAGCCAGGCCCAGGTCTCATTCAGGGATGTCAGGTTGCTACTGTCCCACACACTCGATGTTATGTGCAGGAAGTGCCACTGTTGTCACTTGCTTTGTGAAGCTATGACAGGGGTGCTTCCTGTGTCTAGCCTGCATGAACATACACAGAAAGCTATATTACCACATGCACTGGAAATTTTATAGTGGCCATTCTGCGCTGGAAGTTGAGCAGTATAGATCTTGTGTTGGATGAGCATCAGTTGGAAAATTGTACATATCTGTCTTCTACCAAAGCTTTTATGTTCATTTAAAAGCCTACAGTGTGTTTAGTTTTCTCTAAGTATTACTTTTATTGAACTATGTTGTTATTATTCAACAAGCAAACCTGTATTGACTAGCCCTATTAGCTAGGATAGTCACTATTATGGTATTGATTTGGTATTGAATAATTCATTTCGTCAATTTCTTCCCTTCAGATTGAAAAGCTCCCCAGGAAAGAGATAAGTAACATATCCTTTTTGTTGACCTACATAACGTTTCTGAAACTCCTGCAACACCTCTCGCCTAGTTAAATTTCATAGGTGTTTGTCTGTAAACCATTTCCCATTGTGTTTTTTAAAATCCACATGTATATAAATATCATGGTGCTGTGATTTATTCAGCTACGGTGTTGCAATGTGCAATCTTGAATTCTAGCCTGTAAAGACCAAGACGAAGGAATAATGTCCCTAGAATTTTGTAATCTTTCCACATATTTTATGAGGTGTCACTATTACGACATTTCAGACAAGTGGTCAGAATTTCACAACTGTGTTGATGATGACATAGTAGAAAAAGAGTTAAAATGTGTTATAGAAAAGTGTTTGGAAATGTTGATTATGCATACTTTTAATTTTTTTGAAATACTTTTCAAAACAAAACAGCAAAAATACTTTTCTTGTTAACTTTCTAATTGTAGACATTTCAATCCCCTAAATTTGCCTGTTTTGGTTATAACTTGACATGGTCTTAATATAGTAGTTGCTTTTATTGAGGGCACCCAGTGTGTGGTAACGTCATGTGTGGCATGTCTTCAGATGATAACGTCTAACAGCGACAAACTACGGTGCATTCCTTGGCAATCGATATAGATTTTACCCTTCACTTGAGGAAACAATGCTTTCTAGTTAGACCACTAACTCCAATCCTAATTTATATTGTTATAATGTTTTTATTATAAGACCAAGTTAACAATGTATCTTTCTCTGTGTTTTTTATTCTGACCTAAATTGGGCTCATTTCTTTCATACAAACCAAACATTATTTTTCAGAATTCAGCAACCATCGTTCAGCATTCCAAACCATTAAATACCACATCCTAATTTTCCAGGGATATATGATCATTATTACATTGAAATAACTTGCAGACTAGCAATAACATTGCTGTGGTTGCTCAAACAGACCCAGTTAATGGCTGTGCATTAGAAGCAGATTTGTTGTAGGTGTTAAGTTACTAAATACAATGCTTGGGGTGAACATTAATGTCAAGTCCCCACCGCATAGCAATTGGACAAAGTGCCCAGCCCCGAATCATTTGTATTCTTACCCATTCTAAATACGCCAATTAATTCATACAACAGTCTGATTAATTTAAAAAAATACTCTGCTGATATGTCCAATTTAACTGGGGTCCACTGTACTGTACTTTTGCCAGTCTCCATCCTTTGTTCAATCTTGTTACAATCTAAAATGTTTTGGTATGGCCCATCTTGTAGCTCAGTGGTTAGATCACTCGTCTTGCAAGTGAGAGACCTGGGTTCAATTTCCGGCAGGGCGAAACCTTGGGCAAGTTTCCTTACTCCACATGCCTGATAATAATCCCTCAAGAAAAATAAACAATAATAAATTGGTCACTTCAATCCGCGACTGTTTGTGGGACACTGCTGTGTGCAATTGGCTGCCGTGTTTCGCCCACAAATATGCAGTCAATTCACTTTACAGTATATTCTGTGAAGCGCTTTGAAACTCTAGAAGACATGAAAAGCGCTATATCAAATACAAGGATTAGTATTATTATTATTTATTTATTATGCAGAGGTGAAAACTCTTAAGAATTAATTTTATATCCACTCTCCTCTATTCTGTGAATTGTTTTGAGATGTCCTCTGATGTGAAACATATTGTATAAATGTAAATTGTATTGTATTACATTGTGTGTTCTCATGATATATGTCTATAAGAAGACATCCCTTCTGCAACTGGACTGCAGTTGTAATCAGCACCATAGTACAATGAAAAATTAAATATTTCATATAAGATTCAATGTTATCGAATGCCTTTTTCAATCTTACATACGAAACATCATATGTTTCACCATGGTGTTTCCTAATCTGTGAGGAGCAGAATATAGCTAGGAGGAATACAAACATATTGTTCTGTATCAGTGTGGTTGCAAATACAAAATCAGCACTCCTTTTTAGCTTGCCGGTTATCATTATTGTTAAAGCATCTGTATGAACGATAATAAAAAAAGAGTCTTTTTTCAAGTAGGTTTCAGTCAATTAAAAGCTGTGCCGTTTTCCTCCAGCTTGTTTCTTTAGGTGTGTTGGTGAGCCAAACCAAGGTTACTCTGATGAAGCAAAGAACGCTTTTTCTCGATCTCCAAGAGTTAGCTGTGCCTCAGCCGAATGCTGTGGTGACAAGTCTCCTTTGTTCAAGTCTGTAAGTGATGGGCCCACATTACTCACAGTTATGAGTGGTGAGTGTCTCTTTACCAAATTTACTGAAACATCCTTGATTTGTATGCTTGTTCGAGACACAGCAAATCTAAAGTAGAAACAGAGATTACATAAATTAAACCGTGCTTGACAGTCTCATTAATTAGATTGTATTCCACAGTAAATAAAGGAAATAAAGTTAAACAAAACTTAAAAGCTTTTTTCAGTGCCGCAGATGTAACATGCGTTTGCAAGTTCAAGCAGAAATATCACTACCATATTGTGCTATTCATTCATACTTCAAACAAAAAACCCGACCTAGAAAAGCAATTTTATTTTCTGAAGCAGAGTCCATCATATATTTATACGAGGGAATTAGAGTGCAGATGTTCACCTCTTATCAGATCTTCCTTTTCACTGAAATCGTTCTGCTTAAAGACACACATCACATGCTGTTACACTGATGTGCCCCTGAGGTGGTTGCGTAATGTAGGAGCAGACAACAAGGAAGGTTATGAGAGTGAGGCATTAATAGGAACATTTGTCGACTAGAAAAAATATTTACCATTTAGACAATAATTCACGTCATAGACCTAGAGAGGTGTTGCTTCTTCAATACTCAACCATTCGCTGTACACAACCATTTTAAGAAACGTTGCTCTGAGATTTTGACTGCTCTGATATAAAAGCAACTGCACAAAATGTCTGAACCACAAGTTTTCCCAAATCATATTTCAGGATATGGTGGCATTTACTGGTAAGATACTTTAGAAAGTATGTTTGTATCTCACGAACAGAGGGAGAGTTTTGTTCAAAATATGTGGAATCACGTGGCTGAAAATGGCTATGTCTGTTTCCTGCCATATGCTAGGATTTGTAAAACAGCATTGAATATATCTCAGCATCTCTTGTCTGATCAATATTTGGATTTAAAGAAAAGATGGTATGCTGATCACTTACACTGAAAAGCTGAATTACAAACCACATGACATATTTTTACGTAGCGAATGACTTGGCATCCTGTTTTCCTAATTTGCACCTTGCACATCCTAAGTTGCAGAATACTATTTGAATCCTTTGAAATTCAGGAGTGAGTGAAATTCCAGAGTGAAGCAATATTGGATGATGTTGAACCATATAGTGTGATGCATCTTCCTAACAAATTTGACAAGAGCTGAGCAGTTAACAGCACTGAGATCAAAGGTACAAAAGAGAGGTGCAATTCACATTACACAGATATGTGTCACTCAGTATCATTATGCTTCACCCATTCCTACATTAAAGACCTAGAAAGGTAAGGTTAAAGGTAATGTGCAGCAACACAATCCTTTAGGGGACAGCAAAGATCGCTGGATCACTCCCACTAGTAAAGTGTTTCATAATAGTATTTCTTGTATTTGATATAATGCCTTATCATGTTACCGAAATGTCTCAAACTCTTCACAGTATTTACTGTAAAGTATCGTAACTGCAGCCAAATGCAGCAGCCAGTTGGCGCATAACAATGTGCCATAAACAGCCATGAAATGAGTGTCAAATCTGGGGGATATTTGACCATGACAATGGGAGAAACTCCCTTCTCTTTTCAATCAGTACCATGGGATCTTTAAAATCTACCAGAACAGGCAGACAGCACCTCATTTAACGTCTTGAATTTAGCTATTTTTGCCACTGAATTTTTAGGTAAAACTCAAATTTTTGGAAGTGGAATCATGTGATTTGATTATGTACCATTCTGTACTGTCAGAAATAGTACCAGGATAAGTAGAATAAAAGGGACAAGATGTACATAAAGCAGCTGATTACTTTTTCATTAAAACACTCTCTTACTGACCTACTATTTAGTGCCTTTGGTTTAATGTTTAATGGGGGTCAGCTTAGCAGAACATTTCATATTTAGTGCATTGAATGCAAGCAGATGTGTGATCAGTGCTCCCCATCCTCCCCATCACCTCCATCCCAGCAGCCATTTTTTCACACAGCAATGTTTCACAAACAGCTATGGAGTGAGTGACCAATTTTATTGGGGGAATATTTGTTGGTCAGGACACTGTCTAGGATCTCTCTTTTTGAATAATGCCATGGGATCTTGAACGTCCACTTTAGCAGACAGACAATTTAATGACTCATCCGAAGGTCAGCACCTCCAATAATACTATAGACTTTCTGAACTCTACTGGAATGTCAGACAATGTGAGGTCCTGACGTAGGAATTGAACCCACAATCTTCTGACTCAGGGTGAGAGTGCTACTAATTAAGCCAGGTTTCTATCTTAACAAATAAGACACAGGGCATTTAGTATCCTTAATCCTGAGGCACATTGCTATTGCCATTCTCTGATAATGGTTCTGTTGTCAGACAAATTGGTTGATGATGGTTTGCCAGAAAACAACTCTTTACACAATAGATCAGTGTGATGGCAAAACTTAAACCTCCTGCTGGTGACTAAATACAAATGAGATTGATGCCTACAGACCATCCAATAATAACCATTTTACTTCAAAGTCTGTTGTGCATCATATCATCAGATAAGCAGAGTGCATCCTTTCACGGATAGATTTCCGCAGGGAAATTTTCATTTGTAAGTTGCATACCCATGTGGAACTCTCAGTCTGGTTTGAATACTCTGAAGCATGGTGATGTATTTCTGCATGTGTATCAGACACCCGGCTGACAGCATTAATAACAAATCAATGCCACTTTAGTTTCTGTCAGCGTTCAGTGAAAACCAGTTATGAAGCTACAACAAAAATACAAAACTGTACAATTAGTATTATCTTTTACCTGTGGCTGTCTCATCCGTATCCACAATGCCGCTTGTAAAATTGGAAAGCAAAAGTCATGTCGCGCACAGCTCTGTGGCATATACTGACTTACAAATTTATATTTCACTGGATAACATTGAATAACATCTAAGAATTAATTTGCCTTCTTGGTAAAAAATGTTTTGTTATATTGTAATTCAAATGATCTGTATCTGAATCCTGCCATTCTTTGGCTTTCAGTTTCTTAGGTGCCAATTTCCCACAGAAATTCCTAAAACATTTTTCACAATTAAAATACCACATGAATGTCATCATCATTGATTCCATGATAAAATGCGGAGTGGAAAAACAATTCCATCTTCCTTTTTATATGTCTATTGTACGTAGGAAAAAATCTAAAAATATAATTCTTCTAATGCATGTGCATATCATATAATCATTTAAAATTGTTGAAGGAATACTAATCGGCATTACTTTTAGCATCTTTGAGAAATACCACCATCGAGGCATTGGTCATGTAGTAACACTGAATATTATTTCAGTCCATTGATGTCTTAATAGAGTACAGCCCCATAAAATGTTTCGTTATAACTGATTCAATTATAATATGGTTGGGATGTGGATCCCATTCACTGCACATGTACTCAAGCGGCCCCTTCATTTCCACTGGCCGGCTCTCACACTAAATTAGTTGACTTCTGGGTTTTCAGGTCAGCACCGCCACTCTCTGTTTGCTGTTCAAGCACAGTGCAATCAGAGGTGACATCAGTGGAGACTTTATGACCTGGAATTAGGCCATTTTAGCTTTCCCCTCACTGAAAATGTCTGACTTCCCAATTGTCAGGTCACCGCCAATGTCACTTCCCACTTTCCACACATGCAACACACAGGAAATGACGTCAGTGTCGACCTAAAGGTGATGACCTGAATGTTTGTCATTTTTAGTGAGTCAGCCAGCATAACACATGCCCAGTGAAACTGGCTATCACAGCCGCATTTATGCAGTCAGTTGGGATATTATGCATTCCAACAAGCACCTTATAATAAGGAACCATTGAACCAGGAAGCATTTCAAGATCTGTGGATTTCAAAGAATTCAGTTAGAGTTTATTTTAGTTACACTGAAATAAATGGCATTATGGTACCACAAATCGACTAACAACTGGGTTCCTACTTACTGCTCGGTAAAGTGAGGCATGTGGAGTAAGGAAACTTTTCGCCCTGCTGGGAATTGAATCCAGGTCTTCTGGCTTGTGAGGCGAGTGCTCTACATCTAAGCTACAGGACTCCAGCATATCACACATAAATATAGTTATATTATATGCTATATGCTATGTATAAAATAATTATGTACTGAGGGGATTGCAAATGCCCTAAATTATGCAATTAACAACCAATGAAAATGATTTACGCAAAGTACAAAGAAGGACCGTTTGAGTTTTTTATCCTTAAAATACAAACATGGCTAATTTTCAGGGTCTATGGTATTTACTCAAATCTGAAATACCCCCAAATCTAAAGTACTGGCTGATTTTTGGAGGGTTTAGGGGAAAAATGAACTTTACTCCAAATCCAAGGGACCATAAACTTGCCTGTGTAAACTATCCCAGATTGCTCCAAGTGACATTCCCTGACTCACTGCAGAGGGAGTAAGAGAGTCATATAACAGGCAGCAAGAAAGCATCCTCTTAATGTGCAATGTTCCAACAGCTGTTTCCCAGTGTGACTGTAACACTCAATGTGTGATGATTGATAGCACTCCTTGCCTTGTCCACCATCCTGGAGCTAATTCCAGTGCATTGACGGGATCTATGCTGAAATTGGCATTCATAAAATCGGAATCAACAACAACAACTAGCACCCTTCACATGGCATAGCATCCCAGAGCGCAGATCACTGCTGCTTGCTGTCAGGGTTGAGGGTTGTCCATATTCTTTGTAACATAATAAGGATGCAGTAAAACACTTCTTATCAGAAGATGATCAGAAAGGACAGAAGGTTGCAATCAACACAGGTCATCTTAGATCTTAATTTTGGAGTACTTTTAGTAAAATCTGTTTTCCTATAAAATCCTCCTTTGGCAGCTAAACAGATCAGATCAAATCTGATATTGTATAGTGCCTTTCACGTTAGGAGGATGTTCCTGGTGGTTGGGATCAGCAGTGATGGAGGTCAGGGAGGGTAGAGGTAGGAGGATGGCTGAAGGCGCAGTCGAAGAGGAGGGTCTTGACATGTGCCTTGAATGAAGCAAGGGAGGGAGCAACTTGAAGGGACTGTGGGATGGAGTTCCAAAAGGTGGGGGCAGAGAGGTTGAAGGCCCAACTGCCGATGGTGGGTGGGACCGTGTGGGAGACGTGGAGCAGCCTGAGCAGAGGGAGCAGACAGGTTGATATAGCGTTAGCAGGTCAAAGAGCTAGAAAGGAGCAAGGCCATGGAGGGCTTTGAAGGTGAGGACAAGGATTCTGAAGTCCCAAAGGTTCACTCATAACAAACATAACAAACATCCAAGCTTGGACTTTAAACGCTAAAATGTATTTTGAATAAAAACCTTTTTTGTGTTGTTATAGCTGGCGCTTAGTGGACAGAATAACAAACATTAGTTGTCATTTCTATCATAGTTTTCACAATAGAATTGAAACAAAGGAATAATGAATACATGTGCTAGAAATCAGTCCTTGTGGCATGTACCCCTGAGAGCATGTGTAATAAGCAAACTCAGCTTGTTAAGAAACATTTAAAACAGAGCGTACTGTTCCTGTGCTTCCCACAGACAGTGCTGCTTTTGGATATGAAGGAAGACAAAAGAATGTTAGCCTGTCCCTAGGGGTAATTATTTGATTCAATGCGTACTGCTGCCAGTTTTATCATTCTCATTGATCACAGTTCCAAGAAAATATCTCATCACATTTAGTCTTTGTGTCCATTTGGTGACACCATTTAAACATTTTATATTAAAACAGCGGGTCGAATATGTTCTATTTCCTTAATGGGATTCAACCATAACGATTTCCATTTCTTACAGCGCCTTTAACGTCTGGAGGATGTCACAAAGCAATTCATACAACTGACTACGGGGAATGGAGTTGAAAATGAGGGAGAATTTTTTTTAACCATAGAATGAGACTAGTCTGTTTATGTGTGAAATCACTGAAATAAAAATCTGCTCGAACTCTGGGGAAAAAGTGATTGGTTCTGCCCTTGTCACTGGATGTGTGAAACTCTTATATTGATTTGTTGGAGTCTTCTGCTTACTGTAGGCAAAGCATTTGCCAAATCAATGTCTGGTGCATAATGTGGGCTTTCATCACTAGATTATGGAAACTCAACTGTTAAAAGAGTTTAAGAGAGCACATTAAGTTATATTACTTTGATATGGAACAGAACCAGATTCATTAAAAATATATAAACTCATAGCCACTATCCCTTAGGATTGAACAATGCATACATTACAATACAATATAAAATTATTTGTATAGTACCTTTCACGTCGGGAGGACGTAAGTTGCACTCTTTTTTGCATGTTACAGGGTATCACCTACAGAAAATAATCTCCAGTGAAAATAGAGTTAAGCAGCACTGATCCTGACTTAATTTGAACATGATGGAAAATATTTAAGTCAGCGACCATCCTTACTGAAGTAGATGACACTGAAGGCTTCACTTTGCAGTAAATTATAAGTCAACATTGAAACAAATGCAGAGATCAATGGTACTTCATGTCTAAGAGTGAGTGAAGAACTAACAATGCCAGTCAAAATAATGCTTTACCAATAAGGATTGTGGTATCCTTTATCTCCAATATATAAAAATCTCTCAGGACACCTTACCTTGAAAAGGCGTCATCAAGACCATCGTCCTCTTCCTGGAAAGAGCAATAAGGGAATAAAATATTAACACCTGCTAGCGTTCAATATTGTTTTCTTCAGAGTTATTTACTAAAAGCTTGCATTTATACAGCACCCTCAACACAGGAAACATCTCAGAGCACTGCATTTAACATGTGAAACCAAAAGTGAAAGCTTTGCAAGCTGTTTCATTGAGTGTACTTGCTGTATCAACCCATTAATATAACATTTAAAGAAACTTTTATCCACATTGTTACTCTCCTGAAAAGGTCTAACAGGCAAGAGGAAATGTAAAGATCACCCCAAGGTTACGCTAACGTCAGAAACTCAGAAGTCTCAAAACTCCACCATAATTAACACCATCTAACAGCTGGAGAAGCAACCCTTTCCAGGTGGATAGATGCAGGTTTCCCCGTAGGGGCCACTCAATGGTGAGTCCCAGTAGAGCAGCATGAAGGGCTTGTTCCCATGTGTGTGGAGATGAGTCAGGTCAGGAATAATAATAAATAACAATCCTTGCATTTGATATAGCGCGTTTCACATCTTCTCAACATCTCAAAGCATTTCACAAAATAGACTGTAAAGTGAATTGACCATATATTTGTGAAAAAAACGTGGCAGCCAATTGCATACAGCAGTATCCCACAAACAGTCGTGGGATTTTGTTTTTTATTATTGTTTTGTTTTGGAGGGATTATTATTAGGCGTGTGAAGTAAGGAAACTTGCCCAAGGTTTCCCACTGCCTGGAATTGAACCCAGGTGTCCCGCTTGCAAGGCGAGTGCTCTAACCACTGAGTTACAGGACTCCACTGTAGGGCGAGTGACAGGTTGGTCTCCCCAGTTGTGAGAATATGGGGCTTATTTTAATTACGTTCATTTTGCTTTGTTAAGCAGTGTCTGGTGGCCACCTTTGCTTTCCTCCAAACCCAGGACAGTTACGCTGGTGTTATTTAGTAATCTCAAACTTTTAGGAATGGAATGAAAACGGTTTTCTGTATGCATGCAATAAAACAGCAGTACGTAAAACTGTTAAATAATTGTAAAACATACCCAAGAAAGAGTGTGTAAAGGAGACCCGCAAGTTGGACTGTTTTGGCCTGAGGTGCTACCTATGTGAATATCTGTGGTTGAAATGAATGGATTCTGTACTTGGTTTATTCTGTGGTCTTTTTCTCTGAATGGATCTAGGAATACAGAAGAAAATGCAAAAGTCACTTTTTTTATTGCCATCAACAGACTTTATGTGTCAGGATAAATAACGATGAAGATAAATATATAACCACATACATGACAGATCTTCTTGTGTGCTGTAAATTTCTGTGGTTCTATGTGGAGATTCATAAACAGAAACAATCGGGTAGCATATTACATTACTAAAGGTCGCAACTTTAGACAGGTGGTTATAGGCAGAGTGGAAAGGGGATTGGGCAGGAACAGGATATGAGACTAGCCGTGAGATGGTTTGGGCTATCCACCACACCCAACTGCAAATATGCTTTGACTGCTACAGAGTGCCAGTGCCCAGGCTGGTACACCCTCTGCTTGCAGTGAGCAAACATGTAGTCCAGCCTGCCTCTCCCATTATGAACATGTGAGCAAAGCATCTGTGGGAAATCAAAGCAGATGCTGCACAAACCACTGCATGTCTTAGAGCACTGTAATGTGGGGGACCTCTTTGCACTTGGCACTTGAGGTAAGGATCAAGGGTGCTTGAAGGGGTATATGGAAGAGGTAATGTGTAGAAGAAAAATAAGAGTTTGGGAGTAGAATGTAGTTTTGATCTGTGTGAAAGGCACAATATTTGATCCATGTCTCCTACAATCGGACATCAATTAATTTTGATATTAATAAGGATTTAATTATTCAGTGAAAGAAAGTCTTACTCCTACCTTCCTCCACATCTCCTTTTGCTCCATTAAGAGCCGCAGTAACAGGGTTAGAACATGATTCACTTGTTTTCTTATCTTTTTCTGGACAACACACAGAAGGAAATGGTCAGTGTGAGCTGACCTGTGTTAGATACTTTTGCATATATTGTACAATTACTACTTGCAGATTAAATACTGTGTCAGAGTCTGGTATGAATCTTTTTAAGCATGTTTGCACATTTGTCAGACACCTGGCTGATCAAGTATTCTCCCCAAATAAAAGCTTTATTTTGTTAAGGATAAACAATCCCCCATATTTTGTTCAAAAAGCTGACTTCATAAAGTTATTTTGCTCCTCTTTAGTTCACCCTGGGAGAGGCACCATTGCTAGCTATTATAGTGTAAAAGCAGCCCTCTGATCTGAACTAGCTGTTGCATTTGCCTACCAATATACAATCACTACAATTTACAGAAACGTTGAAGTGTTTTAAGATGTTCTCGATGTTACAGACACTACATCACATGCAAGGATTATTTATGTTATTTGTTATCAATACAGTTTTTATCTTTCCTATTCTCACTTTATACCAGTATATCCTTTATGTTCAGCATTCAGATTCCAAACTCATGATGTCACATTATATAAAGTAATCGCAGTGCCTTAGGACATCCTCCTTACGTGAAAGGCACCATATAAATGTAATTTGTTGTTGCTAAAACATTATATACAGAGAGACTAGGATTAAAACAACAAATTACATTTACAACATTTATTAATTAAAATATTTAACAGTACATTTTGTAATAACTTTACAAATGAAATAGCTTCAGATTGTAAAAAGCCAATTACAGTAGACTTGGTTTGCCTTAAGCTAATAAAGCTCATCTCACCTCTGTCTTACATTGTGGTGACATATGTTTCTACTGATTAAATGACATGACAGGAAGCTAAGGCCACCCTGCTTGTTTAGCAGATCCACAATCTGCTCTCATTCAGGAATGCGCTCGTTGTCAGAATCTGTTTTGTTAGCAAATCATAGTTAAATTTAGGAAGAATTTTCTGCTGTTCAGATGGCTGCATCATTTGAATTATAAGGATAAAGAATCTCTGAAATGTAACAGAAGATACATGGTGCGGGTTGATACTTTAGGGATATTAACTTGCCAAGTGGCCCTAGTCATGTATATTCTTAAACACACATGTTGTCAAACATAAATCACCAGTCCACATGCCATAATGTTACTACTTACTGATTATGACAGCTTGGGAAATAAAATAATAAAGTTACATTGTAGATGTTCGCCTACAAAAATAGTTAGTACACTTCACAGTAAATCCTGTGAAACACTTTAAGATGTCCTGCTGAAGTAAAAAGTGTTTTATCAAATGTAAGGATTTGTATTATTATTAACTTCTTCAGAAATGTACCAGTAATATTTTGTAAGTTTTTGTTTTTTCAAATAATGAATTTAATTTGTGGTACAGTATTTCCTACGTCTGCTTAAGACAAAATACACAATTAATAAATGGCAAAAATAACAATTGTGTTGAAGAGTTCATTCTTCAGCCTATCCATTGGTTTAGAATTTCAAATAAGACCTCAAATGACATAAATGGCATTTCTTTTTATTACTTCCCTCCCCACACTATTTCCCAACCAAGACGATGGCCACATAATCTGCTTTCAACCCTCTGCCACTGGCCCAAGGCCTGAAGTGTCAGTGTGTCTTGTACTTGATTTTTCCCTTTATCTGGAATACCATGAACATGTCTTCCCTCTGGCATGGACCTGTCAGCCATCAGGATATTAGGTCACCATTAGCATCACACAGCAAGCACCACTGATGTTACTTCACAATGGAAGAGTTAGTCATCTATTCCAGATGCCAAGTGACATCAAGGATAATAATTATAATCCTTGCATTTGATATAGCGCCTTATCACATCTTCGAGATGTTTCAAAGCGCTTCACAGAATATACTGTAAAATTAATTTTCTGTATATTTTGTGAGCGAAACCCGGCAGCCAATTGTGCACAGCAGTGTCCCACAAACAGTCTTGGATTGAGTGATTAAATTATTCTTCTTATTATTATTGAAGGGATTATTACCAATCAACTAACAACCGGGATTCTACTTACTACTAGACAAACAGAGGCGTGTGGAGTAAGGAAGCTTGCCGAACATTTCAACCTACCCGGGAATCACGCCCAGGTCCTCTCACTTGTGAGGCAAGTGCTCTAACCAATAAGCTACAGGACTCCACATTATCAGGATGTCCTGACAATGTGAAATTGAGCATTGAAGCATCAAATTAAAAGAAAAGGCTTAGAAAACTGCCAAGAAAAACATCAAATCTAAAGATTGGGAGAGTTTCACAAACCAGCAAAATAAAACTAAAAAACTCATTAAGAGCGAGAAAAAGGAGTATGAGGGTAAGCTAGCTAGGAACATTAAGTCTGATTGTAAAAGTTTTTACAAATATATTAAGAGGAATAGGCTACTGAGGGTAAATGTAGGTCCACTACAGTCAGAGACGGGAGAAGTTGTAATGGGGGATAAGGATATAGCAGAGTCCCTAAATGGATACTTTGCATCTGTCTTCACCCTAGAAGACACAACAAGTCTGCCAACAACAGAGATGTACCAAAGGGATAAGGACAGGGAGCAACTTAGGGAAATTTTCATTAGTAGAGAATTGGTGCTAGGGAAACTGTTAGCACTAAAAAGTGACAAATCCCCTGGTCCGGATGGCTTGCATCCCAGGGTTTTAAAAGAGGTAGCTTATGAGATAGTGGAGGCCTTATGTCTGATCTTCCAAAATTCCTTGGATTCTGGAACAGTCCCCATGGATTGGAAGATCGCAAATGTCACACCACTATTCAAAAAAGGTGGAAAGGAAAAGATGGATAATTATAGGTCAGTTAGTCTCACATTAGTGATAGGAAAATATTTAGAATCATTGATTAAGGATGTGGTAGTGCGGTATTTAGAGGAGCACAATATAATTAGGCCAAGTCAACATGTCTTTACAAAAGGGAAGTCATGTTTGACAAATCTCATAGAGTTTTTTGAGGATATTTCCAGTAAACTAGATAAGGGTGAATCAGTGGATGTGGTCTGTTTGGACTTCCAGAAGGCATTCGATAAGGTGCCGCATAAAAGGTTAGTCCAAAAGATAAGGGCCCCTGGAATTGGGGGAGCATATTAACGTGGATTGGGGAATGGTTAACGGGTAGGAAACAAAGAGTAGGGATAAACGGGTCCTTTTTAGATTGGCGGGAGGTGACTAGTGGAGAGCCACAAGGATCAGTCCTTGGGCCTCAGCTATTTACCATCTACATCAATGATCTAGATGAGGACATCAAAGTTGTGGAGTCCTGTAGCTCAGTGGTTAGAGCACTGTTAGTGCAAGCGAGAGACCTGAGTTCAATTCCAGGCAGGGCGAAACCTTGGGTAAGTTTCCTTACTCCACACGCCTAATAATAATCCCTCCAAAACCCAAAACAATAATAAATTGGTCATTTTCAATCTACGACTGTTTGTGGGACATTGCTGTGCGCAATTGGCTGCCGCGTTCGCCCACAAATATACAGTGAATTCACTTTACAGTGTGTTCTGTGAAGCGCTTTGGGACGTCCTCCCGACGTGAAAAGCACTATATCAAATGCAAGGATTATTATTATTATTAAGTTAATATATCTAAATTCGCAGATGACTCAAAACTAGGAGGAAGTGTCAACACAGAGGACGACATTAAAAAAATGCAGCGAGACATAGATAGGTTAGGTGATTGGGCAGGTCAGTGGCAGATGAAGTATAATGTAGGGAAGTGCAAAGTCATCCACCTGGGTAGCAAAAACAGTAGAGTGGGTTATTTTTTAGAAGGGGAGAGATTGGAATGTGTTAGTGTCCAGAGGGACTTGGGTGTCCTTGTATACCAATCACAGAAAGTTAGTCTGCAGGTGCAGCAGCAATTAGAATGGCGAACAGTATGTTAGCATTCATTATGAAAGGATTAGAGTATAAGAGTAGAGAAGTCTTGCTGCAACCGTATAGGGCCCTGGTGAGACCACACCTGGAATACTGTGTGCAGTTTTGGTCTCCTTATGTAAGGAAGGATGTACTTGCCTTGGAGGGGGTGCAGCGTAGATTTACTAGGTTAGTACCAGGGATGAAGGGGATGAGTTACGAGGATACGCTGACCAATTTGGGCCTATATTCTCTAGAATATAGAAGAATTATAGGGGATCTTATAGAAACCTATAAGATCATCAAAGGGCATGATAGAGTAGATAGTGGGAGATTGCTTCCCCTGGTTGGAGAAACTAAAACCAGGGGTCACAACCTTAAAATCAGAGGCCAGCCCTTTTGCACTGAGTTCACTCAAAGGGTGGTGAATGTATGGAACTTATTACCCCAAAGGGCTGTTGACGCTCAGTCCTTGAACATATTCAAGACTGAGATAGATAGATTTCTTATTGCAAAAGGGTTTAAGGTATATGGGGATAAGGCAGGGTTAGGTTATTAGCTGGAGTTAGATTAGAAGATCAACCACGATTGAATGGCGGGGCAGTCTTGAAGGGCTGAATGGCCTACTCCTGCTCCTACATGTTGTGTTATCACACTCCCTTTTTAGTGTAGTGTCTGAGAATATCTGACCCAGACGATCACACTATAATGGGATTGCCTTGTATATTGAATGCTCAACCAGTCTAATCCAATGCGAACTAAAATACTACCTGCCATTCATCTGTTTATCTATATGCGTTTCTGTACAAATTCTGCCAAGTGGAATAGAACATTTCGATTCAACTCGGCTCTGTGTAAAGAATTTAGTGTTTTGACTGATCCAGTGGGTGGGAAGCATTTTACTGTTAGATTCAATGAAATCTGGCTTGTTAGAACACTCATAGCTCTATGAGTTTAATTTAATAAAAATGAATTACAGTAAATGAACAGGAACTCTATATGACTCTCCACTTGCATGTTTCAGGGATGAGTGGATACAGTTAGCAAGAAAGATTGGACACGTTGGTACTTTTCCCCCTAGAGTTGAGACAATTTAGAGGGGACCTGATTGAGGTGTTTAAAATTATGAA